TTTGTTACTAGGATCTCTCTCCTAACTAGGATTTCTTTGATAGGTAAGGTTTGTCCGATACTCCAATCCAATCCGCTACAACATTTATGTACTAATAGAGAGGCCCCAATTGAGAATATTGATTAATGGAATATCAATCATAGTTGTACTCTTGTCATTGTTTTTATTTGTGTTTATGTAGGGTAGCATGTTTACCCCCAAATAATAATAATAATAATAATGTAGGCCTGTAGGGTCGTATGACCACTAAACCATCCAATGTTAAAAAGACTGAAACGCCCTTGACATGATATGATGGACAAAAACAATAGTAAGGGTAAATCTTAAACAATTTTGACAATGACATCCAAGATTGATGGACTACTTTGGAATATTATTGGAGCAAGTTGATACTGAAATGGGTTCACAAAGAATCCCCAAGTTCAAACAATTTTTTAGTGCTCAAAAAGGTAGGAAGGGGCTGTTCAGTAACAGTTGAATTTGCTGAATTGAATGATTCATTGCTTTGTTTTTTCATGAACTAAATAATAAAATATTCAAGGATATAGGAACCTTTGCAACTTCAGCTCCCGAAATTAAGGCAGTGCCGACCTCTATAGATTTAATGATGTGTACCAAGTTATACACTAACTTATGAGAATTCATCAAAATTCATGGTGTGGTTTTGATTGGTCATACTCTAAAACATTAGATCCTCCTGTGTCATACCCATTCACTCTAATGTTTTAGAGCTTCACCACTTATAACAAGCCTGTGAATTTTGATGAATTCTCGTTGGTTAGTGTACAATTTAGTTGTAGGAGATTAAAACATCCATTAAAGAGCTCACAACTCAAGGATTTATACACTAAAAGGCATAGCAATAACAATTCAGCTACTTCAGCTGTTATCAAATACCCCTTAATAGATTGTCTTATTTATATGGTGAACCATCAGATTAGTTTATGTGGAGTTGTTGCAATGAAATATTGAGTGGGGTGTAGTGAACTGCATTATTTTGGGGATGGGCCCTGATCCAAGCAGTTGGTGGTTCTTGGATGCATTTCATTGGTTCTTCTATTTGTTTTGTATCACTGTTTGATTTTTCCAATCAATGAGACAGAAAATGTTCATGACCGAAAGGATTTACATGTTATATGGTGAAAATAATTTACACCTATTTATCATAAAAAAACAGAGGAAATATAGGCAAAAGTCAAATTTACAGAATGAACACAATTGATTTTTCTTACCACAGTAGATTCCACCTTGACCTAGACAGACCCATTCTTAGCTGATTTTGATTTGGGTCTATCTCTGCCCCATCGTTGCCCATGTATTGTACCATCAAATGGGTTGGTTTTCAGTCTCATTGGTATTGGATTGGATGGTGGTATTTGCTGAACTGTTTCATATCTGTGTGTCTGTGGGAGCAATCAAAGCTTGCAGTCGGTCTCAAAAAGCCCCTATACATGGACAAGTTCAGTCCTTTTCTGGACATTCTTTTTCAAGTATAAAAAGAATCTAGCAACACAAGCCAACATCTTCTTGCAGAAATTGCGGCTTAATTCCAGAAAACTTTCCTCATTGATCTCTACGTCTCCATCTATTTTTCCAATAGAGTGTGGAAACCTGATGGCTTTCTTTGAATTGGTGGCTTAGCCGTAACCGAGAGGTCATGATCAATGATCAAAATATCCATACGTCATATATGAGAGTAGGGGTGTATCGGGCAAATTGATACCTTTTTTTTATTTTTTTTTAAACCGGTTCAGGGGGTCGGTTTAGGGTTCTTCCACCCCCTGAACCAGTCAGACCCCCAATACACCCACTATAGGGGTATATCGGAGGGGTCCCAGAACGATACGTATCAGTCAATACGGGTCAATACGTGTTGATACTTTGAACCTTGGTTATGACTCTTTTATTAGTTGTTGGGTGACTTCAATTATTGAGCAGATTTTCTGTGAAATCAATCCATGATGAATCACCTTCTAATTATATGTTGTTGGGATTCATGTGTGAGTGTACAAAGTTAAGAGAGTCTCATATTAAAAAAATAAATGAATGGCCTAAAACTTAATGACTTAAGTTTCAGGTTAAAAGTGATATCCAACTCTTGTGTATAAGTCCCATGCAAATATTCATGACTCCCCTCATAACGCAGCAGATCTTTTTCCAAATTACTTCGGGCCAGCTTAGCAGAGAAAATTTTAGCTGACGGACCACTTTCAACAGCTTGTGCTGTCTCTAGGCTTTCTAATGTTGGTCCATGCAGCCATCAGCCATGTATGTCAGCATTGATGGAGTTTATATCTGCTGCAATCATAGTTGCAGCATTTTGCACGGGTTGGGCCTAGGTTTCCAGGCTGTTAGGCTGGGCCCACCTAAGAAGACTGAATCTGCTTCTCACAAAGAGCTCTTCACAACAACCTCACAGCACATCCAGCCACACATTGGAAATATCTCCCATAACTTGTATGTTATTGATGGGAGATGTTCCCAATGTATGGTAAGATGAGATGTTCTGTAAGGTTAGTGTAAAGAGCTTATTGCTGTGAGGAGCAAATCCTGGTTCTCACTCAAGTTGCAGTTTGCTGATCACTTTCCATAGCCAATCCATGCTTTACAGCTTTTTTCCAAATGGTAGTCTGTGTAGCTTCACTAGAGTTTATTATTATTAATCAATTAAATTGATTTTTTACATGAAAAGTAAAATGTTTATAATTGTTAGTTGATTAGTTATTATTTTATTTAATAATTAAATGTTAAAACTTATTGCTTCTTATAAACGTTTAGTTTTTAGATATATTACTTTTTTATCATTTAAATTTATTATATTATATGTTATTTTAATCAATTTATAAACTTTAATTAATTTTTTCTTAACCTTTGTGGCTTACGCCTTACAAAGCCTTAAGACTTATGCCTCACCTTTTTAGGCCATTACGCTTCAACTTCGTCCCTTTTAAAACCTAGTTAATGACAAATATGAAATATGTTTTCAATACACACTAAGATATGCATGTGAGGCACCCCGTGGGGTGTTGATGTGATCTCAACAAATGTTGTGATCATGGTAGCTGGTCGCAACATTTCCTTGTGACCGCTGATGATATAGGGCCATGAATAGATTGGATTTGATTAATTAAAAGGGAATCCAAATCCAATGTGAAACTCAATTGAATTTAAAGATTCCGGGTTAGATTCAAATCTTATTAGACTCAGATCGAACTCAGATTTAATTTGGTTCCACTTCATTTTTAATGAAAAAAAGGTGATTACATCTTAAACTTATATATAATAAATAATTATAATACAAAATAATGAATTTATTATATAGTACCAAATGGGTGAGCTTTCATGCAACGGCTTCGTTGCATGAGCCAAGAAACCCAAAAGGTCATCAAGTCATGCTTGGCAAAAATCTAAAAAATTGGAAAAAATGATTACATGAGCTAAAATATGAGGGTTCGTTTGGCATATTTTTTTGAGAAGATCTTCTTGTAACTCTGACAATTAAAAGATATATTGAGCTTTTGACATAAGATCTGGGCAGCCCGAAAATAGTTTGACAGACACGTGTCTTTCTGTGTATCCGTCCACGTCTTTCCGCATGAGATTAAAACGCAAAAGACGTGGAAAGTTTCATTTGGAGCTTCTCGAAATCAGCCCGAAATGGGCTTTTTGTATCTTTTTGGCACACCGTCTTTTAGCAGCTAAATCTTCCGCGAGCCAAACGGGAATAAACCAAAAATCGGTCTTCTCGACTTATAAACAGCCGAAAGACCACACGGAAAGACACACCAAACAGGCCCTGAGTTTTTGATAAAATTGTTGTACTTAGCTTCTTGAAATCAGCTCCGTCAATACAACTCAATCATCACATTAGGAATGACAATGGATGGGTTTAGGGTGATTACCATTCACCATATTCCTCATTCCCAATCCTTTGAAATAAATCTTCGTCTCTAATTCAGATCTCCATCAGGGATAAAAATTATCCTTCATCTTTGATCAAATCCCCAGATTTTTTAATTAAAAGTATTTTAAAAAAAAATAAATTTATTAAAGTAAAGAACAATTTAAAGTATAAATAATATTATATATAACATATTTAACATGTAATCAGAGTTGAAAAAAGTGGGGATTTCATTCCGCATCCACAATCAGAATTCAGAAATCTCGATTAATCCCCATCGCTGTCCCTGCCCCCACCAATGCAATCTCCTTCCAACCCCATAGGATTGGGGAGGCCGAATACATGGCGGGGATGGAAAAATTTGTCATCCCAACAGAAAACGCACAGCACACACATCAGGAACGAATTCACGTATGTGCGCCATATGCACATCTGAAACGTATATCAGGAACATTTTTCGTATTTGTCATTGAATACACGGTTTGGATGGTGCGTTGGACGCTGGGACGCAGATGTGATCTCATCAGGAACATCTCAACGTGTATATTGTCATCCATGCGAGATGTTCTCGATAAACGGCTGTAGTGTCTCACAGCGACCTGTGGTCAGCCGTCCGAGCTCCATGGCCATGAAGCTGAAACCGGATTCATTCAGAGCAAAGTCCGTTCCCTTGCATTGGGAATATCTTCCCATGAAATAAATGCGGCGTGCCAAATCCGTTCAAACAACCATGAAGGCATGAGGCTAGTCACTCTGGTGAAGCAAATGCGGCGTGCCAAATCCGCTCTGTTCGTCAGTTATCTCGTTCAACACAACCATTTAACGAAGAAAAAAATGTCAGCAGCAGTTCTGAACAGGTCCCATCTAACGTGCACGGTAATGCAATGTGCCCCATGCGTACGATGCTGGAAAGTTATTTGAACGGTTAGGATCAATTGTCTCTCCACTTGGTGAATCTCCAACCGTCGACTACATTTCTCATCCCTCACAGTCTGGTCCACGCCCTGGCCCACCCTTCCGACTTTTGGACGGTCCATGTAGATAAAAATGAGTTTATGCTTCTGGGTCTCAAAAGAAAATCAGACCGGAGACCGAGAGGAAGAAGAAAAAGAAAGAAAACAGAGAGTGCGGTTGACTTTGTCTTCCGCGAGGAAGACGAAATATGTTTAACGAGTCAAAGACGATTGATACTCAGAAGAATATACCGTTTTTCGCAACCATCCAACGACAAAACTCCATTTGATCCATCAAATTACTCAGTAACAGTGAACAAAATCAACCCACCTCAACAATTTCCTAAAAACTTACAGACCAACCACTCTTCACGATAAGAGCCAAAATCCAGGTCTCTTTAATTTTTCATTTAATTCAGTAGGACTACAAACCCAGTTGCATTCATTTCTTCTTATCCCTTATTGACTATTTAATCACTGAAAGGATCAGATTCTAGTGGAGAACAGAGAGGAACAGGAGAAACAGAGATGAATCAAATGGATTCTCGGAGCTTCCCTCAACTCCTCTCGGAGTTACTGGCGTCTGCTGACGAGGTGGCTTCACTTGCCAAAGACTCTGAGACCGAACCGGAGACCTTCAATGAATTCGCCGTCTTCGTCGAGAAATTCTCGCCCATCCTTAATGATTTAAGGATCAACAATAAGGCCATGGACACGCCCCAGATACGAAAGGCGGTTGAGTCACTGGAAACAGAGATTAGGCGTGCCAGAACTCTCATCAGGAACTCCAATTCGAGATCTCCGGTGAAACAGATTGAAGATGTTACCCATGATCTTGGGAGATGTTTGGGCCTGGTGCTGTTGGCGAGTCTCGATGTGTCTGCGGAGATTAAACAGAAGATTGGTGCTTTGCACAAAGAAATGATTAATGCCAAGTTCAACACGAACGTAGTTGTTGATCGTGAATTGGAGTTGGGTGCTGAATTGGAAATTAAGGAGGAAGAGGAGTTTGAATTGGAGGAAGATAGGGTTGTTCTTGATGTTGACGATGTTGCTTTGCAGCTTAAATATGGTAATGACCAAGAATTTAAAGCTGCTCTTTCGGGGTTAAGTGTTCTAATTAGAGACAAACTGGTTAGGAATGAATGGATAAGTGATGAAGGAATCATCCCAATTCTGTTGAATCGATTGGGTTCAAGTAAGCAGTGTAACAGGTTGACTATAATTTTGTTACTGAGAAGACTTGCACATTTGAAAGAAGAGAACAAGGTGATTTGCTTGTTTTTGAGTTTTGGAAATTGATTTTTTTTCTTAATTTTGTAACTGAGACTGCAATTTTGCTATTATATCTTACAGCGTTTAAGTATGGTACAGGAGAAGATGGCAGATCTTGGATCTCTGTCGACATTGGTGCGGTCTTTGTCACGAGATATTGAGGAGAGCAGGGAGGCTGTTGGGCTCCTACTGGAACTGTCGGAGCTCCAGGCGGTTCGCCGGAGAATTGGCAGAATTCAAGGATGTATTGTTATGTTGGTTGCCCTGCGCAATGGAGAGGAACCCTGTGCTTCACATGATGCTGGGAAGTTGTTGAATTCTTTGTCAACTAATACTCAAAATGTTCTTCATATGGCAGAAGCTGGTTACTTCAAGCCACTAGTGCAATATCTAAAAGAAGGTAATTGTAAAGTCTTTTAAGCTGAAATTTTCTGTTTTTCTTTTTTTTCTCTTTCATTCTTTCATTCTCTTGATGCTTCCTTCCATTATTTTTGTTGCATTTGCAAGTTTCTTATTCCAGTGTTACTAGTGTGAACTTTCGGGAAATTGCTTATTCACTACATTATGAACTGCTGGACCTGCATCTATCCAGTTAAATTTGGAGTTACGGCCTTGTTTTGTTTGTTTGCAGTGCAGTTTTATTTGCTTTGGTGCAAAAGTATGGGAGTGCAGATGAGTTTGAGTACAATTTTGGTTTAATTATAGGTGTCACTCTACTTTGTTTGTTTGCAGTGCAGTTTTATTTGCTTTGGTGCAAAAGTATGGGAGTGCAGATGAGTTTGAGTACAATTTTGGTTTAATTATAGGTGTCACTCTACTTTGTTTGTTTGCAGTGCAGACAAAGTAAAATAAAAACTAAAGCTGAATGAAGTAAAACCAGAAGCAAAAATAGCAAATTCTCATTTTCACCCCCATCCATTTGTGCTAGTACATATGAAATTGCATTGCAAATAAACAGAGCCTAGAAATCAATCTTGTTACTGCTATGCTGTCTTCAGCCTGGAACTTCAATTTTGAAGTGGACTTGCATGCCTTCTGTCACATTCTTATGACCACATGGAGCCGAGTTCTTTAGAAAAACAAAATCTTTTTCTTCTTCTATACCTGTCATCTAGCACTAATTCTATCAGAAACAAAATCACTTTATTCCTTTCTTACCGTATAATAAATAACAAAATCAAGATAAAGAAATGGTTTCTTGCTTAAGTTTTTAATACTTAGTAGTTCCAAGAACATGGAGCAAATATTTTAGTTGAGATGAAATTTGTCATTAGATTTTTGGCCCAGAATATTATATATAGAAGAGAACATAACCATTGAAAATTTCACATGGAAGGTATCAACTAAAATGTACCATAATGCTGGATATGAATGAACACTCATGCCTCAAACATGTTTTGCAGAATGAAGTCCCCTCCTGGAACCTTCCAGTTATATCATGTTTGAACTACTAGTACATGTCAATAGCTTAACTTAATGATATTTGAAGCTACTGGATTCTAACTTGAGATTTCAAGTAAAAAAAAACAGTATGAGCTCAAGTGACTATTTACCTGAGACAGCTAGGGCTCCTCTTGCTTGAGAATTTTCACAGTTTGCCTTTTCTATGGCTTCTTCTAAAAGACCTCTAATATTTTATGATCAAAATTTGTCTTTGCTTCTTCCTTATAATGTATTAGATATCTTGGCATAAATGATTGTACACAGCTCTTATTTCAGTCATGTCAAATATACAAGATCACAATTCTGCAGCGTGGTTCCTAGTTTATTTATCTCCTCAAATTATTAAATTTGGGAACTAGCTTCTGTTGCTTTGTGCAATCTTGCACGTTCCTATTTATTTATCTATGTGAATAAGCTCTCTATAAACCTTTTTGTAGGTTCTGATATGAGTAAGATTCTCATGGCAACAGCACTTTCAAGAATGGAGCTCACAGACCAGAGCAGAGCTTCCCTTGGAGAAGAAGGAGCAATTGAACCCCTAGTCAAAATGTTTAGTTCAGGGAAGCTTGAAGCAAAACTATCTGCTTTGGGGGCATTACAGAATCTGTCCAGATTAACTCAAAATGTCAAGCATTTAGTTAGGTCAGGCATTGTAGCTTCTCTGCTCCAGCTCCTTTTCTCAGTCACTTCTGTGCTCATGACTCTACGGGAACCAGCTTCTGCCATTCTTGCTAGCATAGCCCAATCTGATTCTGTTCTTGTGAATCAAGATGTGGCCCAAAAGATGCTATCACTTCTAAGCCTCTCCAGCCCAGTAATTCAGTATCACCTCTTACGAGCACTCAATAGTATTGTCATCCACTCCAGTGCATCCAAGGTTAGATCTAGAATGAAAGAAAATGGTGCAATTCAGCTTCTACTGCCCTTCCTAACTGAAAGAAGCACTGAAATCAGAACAGTTGCCCTGAATGTACTGAATAATCTAACTAAAGATTTGCCAAAAGAGTTGACTGAAGAACTTGGGGAGTTCCATCTCAATATCATTGTGAATATCATCTCCGAGTCAATATCTGAGGATGAAAAAGCTGCTGCTTTGGCCTTACTGAGTAATATTCCAGTTAGTGACAAGAAAGCAACAGATATACTCAAAAAGGCACATTTACTGCCGATTCTCATATCCTTGATGGGTACATGCACCACAACTTCAGCATCCACAAGTAAATGGATGGAAGAGAGCATTGCAGGTATACTGATTCGGTTTACCATCCCTTCAGATAAAAAACTTCAGCTACTATCAGCAGAACAGGGAGTGATTCCTTTACTTGTGAAGTTACTCTCAACTGGGTCACCTGTTGCCAAATGTAGAGCAGCAACTTCACTAGCTCAACTATCACATAATTCATCATCCTTAAGCAAGTCTAGAACATCCAGATGGTTGTGTGTTCCTCCCTCTGTAGAAGCATTCTGTGAAGTTCATGACGGATATTGCTTTGTTAAAAACACATTTTGTCTCATAAAATCTGGTGCTATCCCTTTTCTACTCCAAAGTTTGGAAGGTCAAGACAGAGAAGCAGATGAGGCCATTCTTGGTGCTCTATCGACTCTCATGCAGAATGAGACATGGGAAAGTGGAAGCAAAGTAATAGTCAAAGCATCAGGTGTACAGGCCATATTAAGAGTTCTTGAAGTAGGGAATGTAAAGAGTCAAGAGAAAGCACTTTGGATGCTGGAGAGAATTTTCAGAATTCAGGCTCACAGAGTGCAATATGGGGAACCTTCCCAAGCTTTGCTCATTGATCTTGCACAGAAGGGAGCTCCTACCCTAAAATCAACAATTGCTAAAATATTGGCACATCTTGAGCTCTTGCAGGTACAATCAAGCTACTTCTGAGAAGATTAAGGCAAAGTGATTCTGTGTGCATAATTTTGTTCAGCCATACTGTATTTTTTAGTTCTTTTGTTAATAAGCCAAGAAATTTATGGAAAGGGATAACACTAGATGTCTATATCTGTTTACTCTTGGCATAAACTTCACTTTGTCAACTCTTAACTGGGCCAGACTGTCAGCAGCATCGTTTAGTTCTCTACAACTACCTTGATCCTTTCTTTTATCCAATAAGGTACATTACAGTTAATAAAAAATGAAACAGAAAAGCTGAACAATGTACTTAATCACTTTCAAGACACTTAAGTCCTGAGGCAAGATAATTGAATTCATACCCCATAAGGTCATAACTCAGAAGTATTGTTGAATTAAGAGTCAAGAACCCCACTCAACTTTCCAGAATGTTGGAGGATAATGGAGGATGGTGATAATTAATATCTGTCTTAGAGATCCTCCCATTTGGTTAAATTATTTCGTTCAAGATAAAAAAGGAAAATCAAGACAATTCAGCTTGTTATTGAACATTGATCATTCATCATTTGGTCTAAATGATCAAAATATCTACCAGAGGATCGTTGTCTTTTGAATCATACATATTGAAGCTAGAATCTTGGTGGTGAAGATGAACAATCCATTGAAATGAGTTCCAAGACCAGCTATTTCACTCACAGACAAATTAGTTACTGAATTCAAGAATATTTTTTATACCATGAAGCTTCTGATCATAGATTCTTTAATTGGATTAAATACATAATCATAAACCGGGAAGGACTAAACTAAACTAATCTCAAGTCACACACGCCATGTAAACTATAACACCAATACATTGTTGGCTTATACAAAACAGGAACTTCTGTTCTTAGTTTTATTCAAACTTGCTTTCAGAAGCAGTTACATGTAAAGTGGAGAGTGTTCAAGATTATTTTAGCCCAATATAACATACTTTGCAGAAGTTACTTTAATGAAGAAACCACAATCTGTGAACAAAAAGGGAAAAAATATATACTGAATTATTGAACAAAATTTCAGAGTTTTAAGTGTAACAAAGAAAAAGAAAAAAAAAAAATCTAAACCTTAGCTTCTTCAGTTGCTATACTTCAAGAACATGGGAACAATGAGCAGACCAATGTCAAATCGTAAGAACCCTCCTAGTCGTGATGAGAAAGAAAGAAGGAACAAATTCCATTTAAGTTCTATACTGTAGCTTGTTGGCCTTGATTGTTGCATTAACCTCAGCTATGGCAAGTCTCCCTGCAGTCTTGAAATCGAAGCTGCAATCATGCTCTTCTGGATAGGGGTGCAGCGAGCAGAATGTGCTCCCACACCTGCAGGTGAAATCCAGTAACCCCACACGCTTGCTGCAACCTGAGCAACGGTTAGACGATGCTTTCGAACCCACTAAGGATGCAAAAGAAGATGAAGAAGATGTCGTTGAAGGTGGTGGCGACGGCGAAGATGAAGATGGAATAACAGAAAAAGAGACGATTGGGTGGTCACGTTCCCTAATCTCCGCCATGGCACTTGCATACTGATCCTTCTGGTTACTGCGGAGATGGTCTCTGTAACACTTAGAACAGAGGTTCTAATTTGCCGGTGTCCCAAAAAAACCCACATCCATTCGCGCACAGTCTTGGCTAATCTGGGGCTTTAGACCTCTTTTTGGAAGCCATGTCTCAGTCTCACTCTTGCTGTCTCCAGGCAGGAGATGCTGCTTTGGTGCAACTGAGTACGTTGAGACGGTTGAGTGGTCTTGCCTCTGATTGATTGATGTCTTACCGCGTGCCCCACCCACAGCCCATCCCTTCCGTGATTTGGGAACATCTCCCATGACAAGAACGGACCAGTGCACGGGGATGGATTGTGGGGCGCCTGTGGCTGTGGGTCACGCTTGGTGGGGAGTCCATCTGTATTCCGGGTTAAGTAATAAATCCACAAACACATAGGCCCAGTTTGGAAATACATACAAAATAATACAAGATTGTATATTCTACATATTAATACTCCTACCGGTACCTGAGCCTCTTGCCCTTTTTCTGCTTCAACGGGGGTAGGGGTAGCCCATTACCATTAGCCCGTCCCCCATTCTTATCCTTATCCTGTTAATCATGTAATTATTAAAGAGGTGGCAATTTTTTATCCAACCAACCCGTTCAACCCATTGAAATCCACCCATTACCCATTATATGGGTGTAATGGTCAAGTTTTGAGTGGTTTGAGAATTGAGATTGAGCTCGATTAAAAAATTTGGAGCTCGAGACTTGATTCAAGTTCGATTAAGCATTGATTTTTATACTCAAATTTGATTCAAGTCAATACTCACAAACTAATCAAGCTTGACTCGCCTTGAGACAATTATACATAAATTGCTATTAAAAATTACATATAAATTATATTAAAATATTATAAATAAAAAAAATATATTAGAACATTTTATTATGTATCAAAATTAAAAATAAATTAATATTATGAAATATTTATAAATATAAATATATTATAAAATTCAACTATAAATTTATTTATTTATTTATATTATAGATAAAAATATATCCAAAATAATATTTTATTATAAGTTCAATTAAGCTTGCGAGCTACTCGAGTCAGGCATTGCAAAGATTGAATTCAGCTTGACTAACTACTCAATTCAAATGAACTTGATTCAATAATGTTTGAACCAAGTTTGAGTACTTAGTGAGCCAAACTCAAGTAGCTCACGTCACGAGTTCGCTCAACTCGCTTACACCCCTACCACCAACATTCTTTATAGATTGTTTATTGGTTGAAAACCCATCTTGGGGGGAGTTTAGATGAGTGGATTGGGTTTGACCATTTGATGATGAGAACCCATTGCAGCTCTACTATCCCAAATCCGAACATTCTTTGGTCAATCTTCTCTGGTTGTGTTGGAATATGGATTAAGCAAGCTTGCAACCCCATGACCTAGTACTTGAGATGGTTAGTTGCGTTGACCGAGTGGATACTGCTCTGTTCCAACCTGCATCCAATCCAAGTCAAGTGTAAGATTGAATGAAATTATCAGTGTGTGCATGGGAATGTAATCAATCTTAATCAAACCTAACATATATATTATCTCTCAACTCAATCAGCATTTTTCCTAGCTAATGGAGTTGGCTACACGACTCCAAATAGGAAATTTCAATCCCAATTAAATGTAATAGTAAATGGATTAGATTGAACAGGTTCCACATGGCATTAATTAAACAACTATTTGGGATGATGCATCTCCTCTGCTTTGAAAGGGGCTAATTCTTTTCCAGTGTCTCCCGGTCTGCGAATACTTGTAGATGAACTATTATGGGATGAGTTGGATGTAGAAATTTTCTAGAGGGGTATGATTTCTAGGTCCCCCATCATAGTTTTTTTTCTCGATTATTATTAAAAAAATTACAGTGGCTGCCCCTCCACAAGGAGTAAAGTAAAGATTAGGGTTAAAAAAAAGAATTTCCTTTTTTTTTTTTTGCCGTCAAAATACTGATATGAAGGATTGCCAGGTGAAACCTTCAAATCAAAGCCAGAAACAAATAAATAAGAAGGGGGAAGAAGAGGCACAACCGTAAGTTAGAGTTTCTATTTTTGGGTTGAAGGAACATTATTACAATATGCAGATTCATGGGTTGAAGGTACAGTTAATGAGAAATTTTACAATTGATTTATTTGAAATTCCGTAGGGAGAGAACAACTTGTTATCGACCATCTACAGTAACTGTTAACTGATTGCTACCACTTATTTCTGGTTTACTAGAAGAAGAGCCTGAAGGCCCTGAACTAGATAGAATTCTCCTTTCAATAAAAGCTGGCTGTTTGGGAGTTGGGAAATTTGCACTTTCACTGCCTAACATGAGAATTACATTTGACATGGTTGGGCGATCATCAGCCTCTTCTTGTACACACAAGAGTGCAACATGGATGCATTTAGTAACTTCAAATGCATTGCATGATTCACATAATGACTTGTCTGTCAAAGCCAACATCTTGCCTTCTTTCCATAGTTTCCATGCCTGAGACAAGTTTCAAATGAAAGTTATATAATAAAGAACCATATAGAGAGCAGAAAATTTGATGGGTTTCAGAAATGTTGATCACTTACATATCCCAGAAGGGTCAATGTGTGTTCTGACTGGTAAAAACCTGTATTCTTCTTGCCACTGATGATTTCAAGTAGTACCACCCCAAAGCTGAAGACATCTGATTTAATTGAGAAAAGACCATCTAATGCATACTCTGGAGACATATATCCACTACATTCCACAGTAAACAATTGGTTGGATGCAGAATTAGGTCTGAACTTTTAATAATCAATTTTTGGAGGACAATGGAAAAATGTGCTTCAACAACTGAACAGTCTTAAAGTTGGATTCTTGCTACTTACTATGTTCCAACTACTCTGCTGGTATTCCCTTCAGTCTGCTTACCACCAAAGATCCTTGCCAGGCCAAAGTCTGAAATTTTGGGGTTCATCTCCTCATCCAAAAGAATATTACTTGTTTTCAGATCTCTGTGGATAACTCTCAACCTTGAATCTTGGTGAAGATAAAGAAGTCCGCGAGCAATTCCCATTATGATGTTGAAGCACATTTCCCAATTCAATAACAAACGATGCGTTTGATCTACCATTGTGACGATTGATTAAAATGTTTTAGTCATAGAATCTTAGTAACAGATAATTACATTTAATCATGATATGATGTGTGAGTTAAAACTCAATAGTTTGTAAGTTTTAGGGTCTCACCAAAGATAAAGCTGTCCAAACTCTTGTTAGGCATGTATTCATAAAGTAGTATTTTCTCATCTCCTTTGATGGAGTAACCCAGAAGTCTAACAAGATTCCTATGTTGAAGTTTGGAAATCAAGAGAACCTCATTCTTGAATTCCTCTAGACCTTGTCCAGAACTCCTTGAGAGCCTCTTTACAGCTATTTCTTGTCCTCCTGGCAATTGACCCTGTAACCACACGAACATTCTTCATAATGTGTTTGGGTGCATTGTATTTATGCAGAGAAATTATACCTTGTAGACAGGTCCAAATCCTCCTTGTCCAAGTTTATTTGAATCAGAGAAATTTTCAGTAACTGCTGCTATGGTTTCAAAATTAAAAAACGGTACACCTATGCCTTTTTTATCATCTTCTATAAACTCTTCTGAATCTAGGATGTCTGAAGGACGTTCCCCACTTTCATCCAAATGAAAAGCAGAAGTTGGTTGAATGTTTTCCCTGTAACCTGATTAGGAGAAAAAAAACTTCAAAACATACTTTCCAAATGAATAAACTTTGAAAAAGCTCACTTGGATAAGGACTTAATTAGTTATGGCATCTAATAGCATTATTGGTATTTAACATAAATTACATTCAAAATAATGACATATTAAAGACCATCTATAGCACCCATTAGAAGAAGTGATAATCTGTTAGAAGTTGAAGCGGCTAGAAGAGTTAAGAGGCTGACTGAGAAGGACTTGGAAGTAGTAAGAAATGATTTAATTGCTCATAATTTAACAACGAATATGACACTGAATAGAACAGAATGGCGCGAAACAGGATTCATTAGCCGAGGTCATATAGTTGTGACAAGGCTTGGAGGATGATGATGATGATGATGATGATGCATCTCTGAAAGATAGATTTTCTAGGATATGAAATGGCTATGCATTAGCTGTTTCACTTACCTTTTCCTTTAACTATCCTCCTCAAACAACAGAGGAAAGTAACTATGCAAGAGAAAATTATCACAGCTGTTATGGGTATAACAACTATAAATATCAATTGCTTCCTAGGGGAATGGCTTTCTTGAGCAGCATCTGAAATAGAAGAGCAAAAAAATCTGATTTAGATGCTGAAATTTTGTATTCTGGACATTTCAAATTGAAGTAGAAAGACGATTTTGCTTGGCAAGCTTTGATTGCAAGTCGTATCAACTACTACTTTATTATAAAGCATCCTAACCTGGAATGCAATTCGCAACTGTTGGATCCCACCTAAAGTTTGCACTGCACCGTCTTCCTGCATGTAAACATGAAAGCATGGGCAATGACTGAGACAGATTTGGAATATTATTTTCTTGTACCAAGGAAACAACTTACAAAGCAGCATGGAAATTTCCAAGCATGAGCATAAGTTCACATTTTTTTTTTATTTTTTGCAAATAATGGTTATATATTTACAAAGGCATACCTCTGTGAAAGAGTTGCTCTTCTATAAGCCATATCAATTTATGAAAGAGAATTGTGTCGACAGGTGAATTATAATAAATCTGAATTTGTTTTTTCAGTTCTAATATGCATCCTAAGCTTAAAAAGGTGGCTGCCAACTCTCTTCATATCTGAAAATTTAAAAATCTTTCAATTTATCTTGGGACCTCCCATCTTTTGGAAGGGAAAAAACGTCAAATTTTTGAATTTACCATTCTAACTAGCAATCAAGACACCTAAAACTGAACCAATTGCTTTCCGGGACAATCAGGTCTGACCCAATTTACTTTTCATCTATAATTACCAATCATAATAACTACTTAGAACCTCATTTTGATAATATAACTTCTATAAAACTGAGAGTAAAACACTAAACTGTGGATAAAATGTGTTTATGACCATAATTATTTTATATACTCTTTATGAAATTTACCATTTCAAACATAAAATATAACACAAAGATTTTAATACATTATTGATCATATAATCAGTTTGGGTCTGAATCTGTTCAAAACAACAAAATCCTGTCTTGACCCAGTTATTAATCGGGACAAAAATATAGAACCAGAAACTACATTATAGTTTTGTCAGTTCAGTTTTGCCGGGTAGACTCCACCCATTGACAGCCCTAGGTATTAGGCTAAACCTGACCCTTCCTGAGCCGCATATTGAATTTACTAAAATATCCCCCGTACTAATTATAATTAAATTACTAGGGGATATATAAACAATTTAAATTGGAAACCCTAAGCACCAGAAGTGAATACCTATACATTCAAAGAAATGTTGAGCTTTCATGGTCTTTAATTAACCCTAGCTCTAATAGTCTTTGGTTTGATCTTGAAATACTAAGTGGTAAATAAGTAGGGAAAACCTCCCCTCTCTTCACTTTTCTCATAAATACTTAAACCTCCCCTCTCTTTTCAAAATGGACTAAGACCTCTCTTACTGGGTGATGTCATCCAACAAATTAAAGGCCTCCCCTCCACTAAAAAACCATTCAGATGCATTTGTATGTGACATCATGTGCGGGTAAATTTTGTTTAAAACCTAATTTTGACCCTTTATGGTCCCTTTGCCTCTACTTCTCTTTGACTTTGATGGACCTACAGGCATCTTTCTCAACAATTTCAAGGTATACTCTGTGAATACTAGAATCTTATGAAGCATATTCAAGAAAAAACAGCACCGCCTGCATTCAGGTCCCATGTAGCTCTTTCCATTGTCTTCCTAGTATTATTTCTTCCAAGGTTTTCTCATTTCATTACATTTGAAAATCATGTATAAAAGCCGGAAGATAAAACTCTGATCAAGTTGTTTTTGTGCTGGTGCAGATTTTATTTGGAAGAAGGACAACTTGATAGTTCTCTTCTTCCCTTCAAGGAAATTGATTCTTCTGTTCTACTCCTTCACATTGCTCTGCATTATCATTGCCATTGGCAATGTTTATACCAAAGGCTGATCTGCCTATTTGGGTGATCTGTTATGTTTCCTTTTTGAACATTCTCCTAGCGCCCAGGTCTTTCCCTTTCATAGTAGCATACCTACTCTTTGAGAATATCATGTTCGTGATGAAGTTCAATGCTCTAGTTTCAGGACAACTTCAACTGGAAGTGCTTATGAATGGGTTGTGACTAAGAAATCTTTGAGATGATCAGAATCTGATTTATTAGCAGTGGCCGAGAGAGAATTACAAACTCTGAAGCAAAAGCACCTACAAAGAAAGGCTTCTGAATCTGGTTTTAATTACATTGTTGAACAAATTAAAGGAAATGAACAAGGTCCATCTTATTATAAGAGAAACAAGTTCGACAGAAAGGAGTCTGCGTTTGCTTTTATTCTTACTCACTTCATCTACAAGAAGCCTATTATAAGCTCATGGTGTGCATTTCTATTTCTTGTTGTTTCAAGGGTTGTCATTTCTTGTTGTGGGCTTGAACTTGATTGGGGAGTATGAGAGTGGTATAAGTATTCATCGAAAACCTCAGGAGAGATTTAAATCTTTTACTCAAAACAAAACAATGTTGGAAAGGATGAAGAAATACTTGTAGATATTCATCAATTATCAATATATAATTAAAATTCTTTTTTCTCTCATTTCAAAACAGCAACAACAATTAATTACTAAATATTAATAAACTAATAATATAATATTAACAAATAAATAATAAAGTAATAATAAAACAATATTATTGACATATTAATAAACTGATACAAAACTGAAAATTTTCGATTGATTCTAATTTCGGCTTCTAGGTGAATCAAACAATAATGATTGAAATCCGACTTAGATTCCCATCTATACAAACAAGGGTTGGGAATATACGATTCTGTTCGGAGGGGATTTCAGTTCCCCTTCCGATTCCAATCCGGACCGCCAACCAAACCGATCCTTAAGTAAAATTAAATTAAGATCATTAATGGAGTTGTAGGATCGCGGATCTTAACTCAACTAATCCATCACAGGTCTAGAGTTTTACTTTTTGACTTTCCAACTTTCTAAAACAGAATAAAAATTAAATAGAAAATCTCAATTTGGCTAAAAACATAACGGGAGATATATAATGGAAGTGTACCTGAATCGAAATTAGCCACACGAAAGTAAAGCTTTCTCCTCCTATCAACCTGAGTATAGGAATTGTCCACCTGAAGATCTATTAGGTTGTCACTTGAACTCCAAATCCAGCACGAATGAGTTCCCAAAGAGCTCGGGGATGCTTCTTCAGGCAGGCGCAGGGAAGGTTCAAATGAATAAGAGTAAGCATAGCAGCACTTGTCAAGGCACTCGTCTCTGCAACTTTTCTCATTCTCAGATTCCGGGTATGATGACTCGGGTATTCTCACTCTGGAAAAGTACAGAGAAAAGAAGTTCATCTCTTTACATTCTTCTGTGTTTCCCGTGCACCCATTGGAGTACTTGCCGGAATTCCATTCCTCCGACTCTTTGGGGTTGAACCCCGGCAAACATGAACAGACCGGTGTACTACTGCTGTTGCAAACACCGTTAGGACCACAGGCTCTGACAACGCTGCAATCGTCGCTGGGCTGGAACCATAACAGACTCCAGCTATTGTTATCCTTGGTCAAATGCTTGATTTGGCCAGATGGGTCAATTACCAGTCTCGAGTTATTGTCGAATTTCCTAAGACTGTCTCTTTTGACACTCGTGTAGTTTAGTAGCAAGTTGAGCACTGATTTCGGCATCTCTTCCAAGACAGAGAAATCCTCCGACGATCCGCTTCTCCAGTAAAGCGTCGACCTGTTCTTGATAGTGAACTGATTTGGACCTGAACGTTCAAAGATGAAGTCTCCATAAGCTGGGTCATATTCATCAATCCATGACTGTAGCTTCTGGTTTACTTCGAGCTTCATTCCTGGGAGGAATGTATTGGATGGGTTAGCTTCATCGTAAATGAAGCTCTGCCATATAGGAGCTTGATCCCCTCCGCTCAAGATGAAGTTCCCGGTATCCAAAAGCTTAGCAGTTGTATTAGCAGTCGCAGCTGATGAAACCTTCGACGAGGACCAAACAACTTTTCCTTCTAGTTTATCTAGCAGATTAAGATTCCCGTCCTGGCCTATTTGGAACACTCCTTGTCTATCTAAGATTGGTTGGTTTCTGTTGGCAACCCAAACAACTGATCGAGGAGACAACCCATGATACCATATCCCCAAGTATCTTTTGTTGGTAGAGATACCATTGGTGAAATCATCACCAGGAGTGAAGAAACCTAATTCGAATATTCCTCCGGTGGAAACTAGAGTATCTCGTTCTACTCCTCTGTCGAAGATGGGTTGGCTAGGTGTTATGGTGTCTCTTGCAGAGCAAAATAACTGGCTGGAGCATGATAAGAAGATGGCGGAGAAGAAGGAAAATGAAATGAGATTATCTGCAGTAGCAAACCATCTGATCCACATAACTCTTCCTCTCTTCCACATCATTGAAATCGCCGCAGCCGGGCCGTCGGCCAAGAGAAAAATTTATTACTACAAGAATGGAGGTTGTGAACCCCATACAAAGCCAACATATAGCTTACCTTCTAGTCAATCCCGGAGAAAAAGGAAATGGTGCTTTTCACGGTGAAAAATTACTTAAGTTAATCCTTAAATATTCTCACAATGGATGACATGTCATTAAATATTTACAGAAACGGAAAAAGGTAAAATGTCGAATTTGTTCTTTATTATTTCTCAAATTTTTAAAATAAAATCAATATAAAAAATAAAAATGTAAGAAAATTTTCTTTTATATTTCTTAAAAACCCATTACACAAAAACAAATTTGGAAGAGAACCCAGATACAAAAGACTGACCTTTGTTCTCTAATCCGTTGGAATACCGCCCAAGAAGACGGAAGGTTGCAGAATCAGAAATGGAGAGGGGTATGAACTATGAAGGGAGTTTGACATTTCCCTTTTTACTTGTCCTCTTGTCCCAACATCCCCAATGATCATCTCTTCCGGTTTTACCGTTCAGTTTATAACGGTAAAACCCTTGACAAACCAAGCTTTAGGATTGATGATTATTATATTCATGGATTCTCAACAATCAGCCGTATCTCTATTGAAGAACTCTCCCTGTAAGCGAGAGATTTGAGATTTGTCTTAGAATGTTGAGACTTTGAATATATTTTTAAAGTGAATAAGAACCAGAACCAGAACTGGGTTTACATCCTCTTAACCAAGCCTCTTCAACTCACACATGGTTCAAACATGGGGAGAGAAACCACTTCTGAATGTTACGGTGCGCGCACATGAAATAATAAATTAACGAAATGAATGGCTGTAAACGGCACTGCACACAGCAACTTGCTTTTGCTCTAAATTTTGATTGGAAAAATGCCAATAGAGGGAGAAGATATTGATATATGAGACAGCATAAATACAGGTGCATTGAGTGTATATACGAGTATATATGACACTATTGTTGCTTGATGATGCTTAGCCTAAACCATCATTTATGATCATCCTTTATTGCACTGGGCTGACTTCCAAATGCACAAGTTATAGTATGGAAGAAAGAATTGGCGATCCCCTGTTCACTCTAGTCTTTTGCATCGACTCATCAATCAATCAAACAAAAGAAGAGATTCAGTGACCTGTAAGATGTGAACCCAAAACCTCTCTCTCTCTCTCCAAGGCAAATCTAAGATCTCTCTCATTTACAGGGATGGGGTATGAGTCCGGTTGTCTCTCATTTAAGAGTTCAGGTCTCTCATTTACATAATATAAACAGAATAGATTCTTCAACTGATGAACTACCTAGATTCCAATAAGGTTCTTAATCTTTTCTATAAACCTTTTTAGGGTGATTTATTGGCTTTTCGGTTCTATTTCTTCAGGATTTGCATTCTGGGCTGATGAAGATATTCTATTTATAGGCTGAAGCTAGTATGAATGCCCAAGCTTGCCTTTGGCAATATTCTTATCCTATTCATCTAAGTTATTTTATGGATAACATTGTCTTTGAGTTTTATTTTGAAAATTTAAAGAATAATAAAAGGTAAAATTGACTGCAAAAGAATAGTTTTGAAATTAAAAAAAAAAAAAATTATATAAATCACGTGCCTTCACATACAAATGGAATAATGTGATGGCATGTCAAATTTCCCTTCATCACAATCCCATTTTCTTCTTCCGAGTCTTTCTTTTTGGATTAGACTGAATTTTGCAGTTCCAATGCCCTCTTTGTCCCTTATTTTCCTATTTAAGACACAACCAGTCCCCTTATTTTTCTGATCACTGTTTTCAAAATCGAACGGACCAAACGGTCAGAGAGAAGTAAATTTCATATAAATGGCTAAAACTTCAGGAAAAGAATATGACTTCATGCTCTTTGTTGCACAAGTGTTTTTACCTTGTCTGTTTTTGCTTTGAAAAACACACATTACCAAACTTCACGTGATTACTATGGAAAGACAAAAATATTTTGAAAAAGCTTATCCAAACATATGTTTGCCCAATAGCTGGTGGGTTAGTTTGGACTAGCCTCACGTGATTACTCAATTAATTACAAGTCTAAAAGTGCTCGCCACTACAAGAATACCAGTCTAAGGCGGCGACGGTCATTAGTCCACTCCCTAGGTTACTTCCGACCTAGATCAAGACCATCGCCTTTGAGGACCGGTTTGAGGCGGTTCAATTATCTCTAAAGCGGTGGGATGTCAGAACCGTTTGTTCAGAGTTAATAAAGGTGGCAATTTCAACCATGGGCCGCCTTAAGTTAATCAAAATGTTGCTTCCGTTTTTAAGTGGCAATCTGAACCACCGGTCTAGATCTTTTTGGGCCATTGCCTTTAATCAGTTAAAACTTTACTTCTATTTTTAGGTGGCAATCTAAACCGTCGGTTTAGATCTTAAGGTCCTATGAGATAATGACTTCACTAAAACATAGTTACCATCTCTTCTTAAAAGTTTAAGATGGAGAGACGATTCATTAAAAGAAGAAGTGCATGCATGTTACCTTGAGGTGAAGAAATTTATTTGGCAGCCTTGCCATCGAATAGACAGAATTATTGACAAGTCCACATGCTTCATTTTACTTGGGTTTTAAGGTCTACAAAGTCCCTATTGCCTGTTTAATTATTGTTTTAAGGTCTACAAAAGCACTTCCAAATAGTGCGTTTACCTGCACTAAAATAATCATTTGCTTGCTAATTTTCTGCTACCATTGAAAATGTGGCACAACTTGCACACCTACCAAGGCACTAAGTTTTGTTTCATGTTTTTTGGTGGCACCAAAAGTATAAGACTGATACTATATATATAGAAAGTTGAAGGGCCCTAGAAATGTTCATACGAGTATAATATCATCAAATAGTTATAACAAATGTTTTATCTCCACTAACTTGTATCTTCTTTGTTATTTCGTAAAGGCTGTTAAGGATTAAACTATTAGTGTCGGGTATTGTATTGGATAATTTAAATATGGATACGTTTTGGAAGTGTATGGATACAGACAAAAAATATGAAAATGCATGATTACGTTAAAAAAATACATACAAATTCCATAAATACAATAATATCATTAAATTTAAGATCAAAATAATCACAAATAGTATATAAATACATAGAAAATATATATTTTAGCAATATATTATAATTAATATATCAAGATGCATAGATATCATATAATTTTATGAGCCTAAGGTGCAATGTTTTGGGTGCGCTCTAGTGATCCGGGTCTGAATCACCATGCCTGCACTTTTTTATAGAGAAACACTATGTTCTTGTTGTTGTTGTATGTGTGAGTAGGCCATGCATTCAACAGGTCTTCTATCGAGTATCAGTTGACTCAAATCATCTAATTAGCTTTTTCAGTAGACAAACTTTTGGTGATTTTCTAGCAAGGAGTCTCAACATGGGTCTCGTACGTGTCTCCTTAAGTGGCCCTACCAAGCTCATGGTCTAGAGCAAGAATTAAGGTATCGATACGATACTTCCGATATGGGGCATATCGTATTCGTATCCATGATCATGGATACAGGATACGCTACGAATGGATACATATTCTATGGATCGTGCATATTGGTACAATACGCCTTCATATTAGGCTATATCGCACTGTATCGGTGGATACGATCCGATACACACCGATATGGAGGCGTATCCGTGTCTAGTTTGACAAAATTGTATATGAGTACTTTTGGATTGTTTTTCATCTTTAGTACAATTTAAAAAACAGTATTATTAAAACTGAAATAAATAATTTAAGATTTAATTTTTTCAAAAAATTAATATAAAAACAATATATTTCATCTACTTAGATTATTTGTATATTTTATTTTACGCATTGTATCTCTATACGTATCCATATCTGACTTATCGATAGAATACCCGGTACCAATACTTTGATCTATACCTCTTCCTCTATTTCTACTGCACTCGTTAATTCTGAGAGATGATGAATAAACCGTTTCTTTGGCTTATTTTCTCCTCTCTTTCAACTTCTCAAGTGAAATAAGCCTCATATGGCGCTTTAACAGACGGAAAGGTAGAAGAACGGAGAAAATTTGGAAGTTCAAACCAACAAATTCTATAGTTGCAGAGAGGAAGACAATTTTAGAAAAAGTGATGAGAATAAATTCTAGTTTCCCCATTTGCACACTTTGATTCTGTGAAGTCGTTAGGCTTCATACGAAATCGCGTTCAAGACTTCAAGTCTATCGGATGTCGATCGCAATGCGAAGTTGCGAACTCGAATACACTCACCCATTCTTCTTTTTCCTTAAAGGTAAGCCTTTCATTGAGATCCTCGGCGACCTTCTGGGCTACGGCATATTCAATGTAGATGGGGAGCTATGGCGAACTCAGCGAAAGTTAGTAAGCCATGAGTTCACGACCAAATCCCTGCGGGAGCTCGTGGTGAAGACGGTGGTGGAACAGGTGGAAGAGCGCCTGCTGCCCTTATTGGAGTCGGCTTCGGCGAATAATAAGGTGGTCGACATGCAGGATCTGTAAAGGAGGTTCGCGTTCGACACGGTTTGCAAGGTGTCATTAGGGATCGACCCTGGTTGCATGGACGCCTCACTGACCATATCGCCTTTGGCGAGAGCATTCGACGTAGCGTCAGAGATAAGCGCCAGACATGCAGCGGCACCTGTTTTTGCCGTCTGGAAGATTAAGCGACTGTTGATCACGTTGCGATCGACCTCCGACTGTTGATCCTTTCTCCCTCCTTCCTCTTCTTTTTCTTTCTCCCTTGTTTTGCCACCACCACTGCAACTCGAACCAGCGGCGGTAGCAACTTCCTCACTAGATGACAACCGGATCTGAGTACCATACCTACATCAAAACGGCGGATGAGAGATACTCAGATCTGGGCTTGCCGACACAGATACTCAGATCTGGGTTCCTTCTGGGATCTAGGCTTGCCCCTTAAGTTTCATCTAATTTTCTTTATCAAATGAATCCAAACGGAAAAGATAACCTTTTTCAAACTCCAACGTTCCATCACCGCCACCACTTACTGCAACTACAGAAGTTGCCCCGGCGACTATAGTTGCTTCTTCTCTTCCTTCGCGAAGGAGCGCAGAGATTAGAGAGGAAGGAA